CCTGTTTTATACTTTTGTTTTTTTATCTCCAATTTTCTGTTTTTATTTTTTAGTTTTTCATTTTCAAATCTGAAAACATGTTCATCAATTTTTTTCACCCAGTTCTCCAATTCCACACCCTTGACCCCTACGCCTACCCTTACCACGATCTTACACTCTACCCATACTGCCCCACAACCCTTCATACCCACCCATACCTACTCGTAGGGGTCAGGGTAGGGAAGCTATGGGTGGGGGTGGGGTAAGGGATATGGTCGGGGTGGGATGGTAAGGTCTAGGGGTAGGGGATTGGGTGGGGGTAGTGGGTGGGTTAGGGTCGTGGTTAAGGGGTAAGGGTGGGGTAGTGGGTAGGGTTGGGGTAAAGTAGGGGTAGGGTAGGGAGTTGGGATAGGATGGCGGTAGGGTGGGGCCGGGACCAGGGTGGGGGGTAGTGGGTAGGGTTGGGGTAAGGTAGGGGTGGGGTAGGGTAGGGAGTTGGGATAGGATGGCGGTAGGGTGGGCCCAGGATCCGGGTGGGGCCGAGGTAGGGGAAGGGTAGTATGAGGGGTAGGATGGCGGAAGGGTGGGGGTAGGATGGCGGTGGGGTGGGGCCGAGGTAGGGGCATGTGGTAAGGGGTAAGGTAGGGGTAATATATGAGGGATGGGGGTAGGGTTGGGTGGGTTGGGGTGGGGTCAAGGTGGTAGGGGTGGCGGTAGGGTAGGGTGGATCGGGGTGGGGTCGAGGTAGGGACATGTGGTAGGGGTGGGGTAGGGTCATTATAGGGGAAAATGGGTATGCGGGGTGGGGATAGGGTAGGGGTAAGAGGTAAGGTAGGAGGATGGAGGTACCAGAATGGAACCGATATCGGAGCGGGACCGAACCCACCACTAGGTGTAAGTATGCAAATTCATTGCAGCGACACCGTAGCATCTGCGTTTTTCAAATTTGGAAAACTAGTAAAAGTCACTTCTCCAAATCATTAAGGAAAAGAGAAACATGTCTCATTTTTTTCTTTTTGAAAAACGATTTGGTAAACACGTTTTTCTTTTTTCCTTTCTCCAGTTTTCCAGAAATTTCATTGGTAAACATGTTTCCTGTTTTCTGTTTTCCAGTTTTCTGGAAAACTGGAAAATATCTTTGTTAGTAAACAGACCCTTATATTCCATGAAATTTTTGGCTCTCTAGTTGGTGAAAAACATAGCGCTTTTATTTCACGCAGCTGTATTGTGGATATGGCAAAGAAAATGTTAGGGAAAAGAAGGGCATGTGGCCATGATGCTGGATGCGAGCAAGGCATATGATAGGGTGGGTTAATATTATCATGTCGTGTGTCCGCAGTGAGCTATTATGTGCAATTTGATAGAGATTATATAGGCGATCCTCTCTAATTTTATTTATTTATTTATTTATTTATTTATTCCTGTGTCAGAGTGTTTAAGTGTCATGTTGAAAATGCGGAGACCCGGGGTGATATTCACGGGGTCTGTGTAGGGGAGCGCCAAGGGTCTCTTATTTGTTATTTGCAAATAATAACTTTCTTTTTTTCAAGCATATATTGCAGGTCTATAAAAATTGGAATCATAGATTTTTGTTGAGGGCAGGAAGAGCAGTGTTGCTCTGAATGTTATTCAGACTATGCCCATGTATGTATTGAATGTATTTCTTTTATCTCTTAACTCCGCCATGACATCATTTTTTTGGTATCACGCTTGTCCTAAGCCAGGATAAAGGAGGAGGGTGTTGTGGTAGGCGTGTGACGGCTAACAATATCACCCCTCCACCTGGGGTGGTGTCAAATACATAAGGGCGCTCTACACTTCATAGTCCTGGGTGTGGTGATAAGAATGTTAAGGCTGCTAGGTTATCGCCTGAAAGCGACAAGCCACTCCTATGCCCGAGGATAGTGTCAAATAGGCAAGGGCATGGTGGGAGTCGATGTGGTGTGAAGAAGAAAAGACAGAGTGCTAGATTGCATTTTGGGACATGGAATGGTGGCTCTCGTACGGGAAGATTGTCCGAAACTGAGGAATGTCAGCATAATGTGCATGCAACAGACTAAGTGGGTTGGAGAAAAGGCACGTGAGATTAATCTCGGAGGTTTTAAGTTGTGGTATTCAGGGAGAGAAAGGAACAGGAATGGAGTAGGCATTATGGTGGCACATGATCATGTTGAGAGTGTGGTGGAAGTCTACAGGAAGAACGGTCGCATCATGAGCATTAAGTTGATAATAAGAGATGAGATTGTGTCTGTGCCTCTGTGGTAAGTGCCTATGCACCATATGTGAGACTGGATGCATGTGCGCCCAAGTCATGATGATTTTGAAAGTCTCCATGGTGGACATGGTTTTGTCACTAGAAATGAAGCGGGGAAGAGCATTCTAGATTTTGGATTTTACCTCGACGTATGAGTTGGTTGTGATGATCACTTCGTTCAAGAAAAAAGACTCTCACCTTGTGACGTATAGAAGTGGAGCTAATAGTACCCAAATTGACTACTTTTTCGTAGAGATGGCAATTTCGGCTGACCCGTTGGATACCCGCACCGAACCGATTTGGTCAAATTGGGGAAAACCGGTTTGACTGGGGAATGGGTACGGGGCGAGGAATACCCGAATTTTTTAAATGGTTAATGGTGTGGTTATGGTTCTATATTAATCCGCCCCGTTATCCGCCCCAAAACCGCCCCGTTCACTAATGGTGCGGGTACCCGCACCGTTACCCAATCCGTAACATTATTAATTATTTATAATAATAATTTTTTATATATAAGAATAATAAGTATATATGCTAAATTGTGTATACTAAATAGTATATATCATAGAAATAATGCTAAAAAGTATACTACTTTTTTAGGCCAAAAACTAAATATAGGCCTAAACCTGTTTTTGGAATTTGGCTTCTGGGCTGATTACTACTTTTTTATTATGTTACAAGAGATATTAGGTGCATGTCCAACTAATGCGTTTAGGTCAGTCTGCTTGATTGCTTAAATGTTTGCTTTTGTATGTTTTAGGGTGCTTTGAATATATAAATATCAAGTAGGATTAAAAATTGGTTATTTGTTTTCCAAAAAAATGGTTATTTGGTATCATTTGGGGAAACGGTTACCCGTGGATAAACTGATTCCCCGTTGGGGCGGGTACGGTTCAAATAAAAATTACCCGAACGGGTAATGGGGCGGTTTTGGGGCAAACATTTGTCCAACGGGGCGGTTTCGGTTTTATGTGTACCCGTCCCCGATCCGCCCCGTTGCCATCACTGCTTTTTCATATGAACGATTTGGAGAACTAGCTACATTGGTTGTAAGGTTATCGCAGGTGAGAGTGTTGTCACTCAACATAGGATGTTTGTGCTTGATTTTCAAGGTAAAAAGAGAAGGCGGGTTAAACGTACACGAAGAGCCAAAGATAAAGTGGTGGAGGCTCGAGAGGAATCTTCAACAAACTTTTGCACAGAAATGTTGGAGGAGCATGTAAGGTCCATTGATAATGACGCACATATGGATGATGTATGGTTATCAATGGAGTCCACCATTAACAAAGTGGCGAAAGAGATATATGGAGAATCTAAAGGATGTCTACTACCAAAAAAGAACACATCTTAGTGGAATGATGAGGTGAAACAAGCAATAAAGATCAAAAGGGAGTGCTATAAGAAATTGGGCAAAAGTTGAAGCGACGAGAACATAGAGGAGTATAAAGAGGCTAGAAGAGCAAAGAAAGTTGTAAAGGAAGCAAAAGGAAAAGTGGACAAAGAATTGTATGCAAAATTGGACTCTATGGAAGGAGAAAAACATATTTACATATTTGCTCGTCTTCGTGACCGTAGGATACAGAAATAAAGGAGAGGCGGAGGTCATACTTTGATACCTTGTTCAACGGGAATAATGTGCAAGGTATTGATGATCTTACTATACCAGAGTAAATCAGGACTTCGTGAGAAGGATCCAAATAACATAAATTGAAGATATGCTATGAAAAAGATGGGCGGAAGAACGAAGTGGACCCAGATTGCATACCGATTGAGGAGAGAAAGGCATTGAGTGGCTAACAATTTTCTTCAACATGATTTGGAGAAACAACAAAATGCCAATGAGCTGACAGAAGAGTACTCGCATTCCCTTATTTAAAAATCAGGGTGATGTACAAGAATGTGCCAACTATCAAGGGATTAAGCTTATGAGTCACACCATGAAACTTTGGAAGCGACAGGTTGAGCAAAGACTTCGAAAAAGTGTGAAAATTTCGAAGAATCGGTTTGATTTTATGCCTGGAAGCTCAACAACTAAGGTCATTCACCTTCTTGCATCCTGAAATCTCTAAAGGTTGTAAAGGCATTGCACAATTTTAAACAATGCTCTACACACGCAAGCAGCCTCATCTCTTTCTAGGAAAGCTTGCCATAAACGAAAAGTGTTGTAATATTCAAATATGAATAAAAAAGGAAAGTGTTACAAACATTCAAGTACGAAGAGAGTACAAGTTATAACAAATAGTATTAATATGTATAAAAAAAGGATCTAGCAAACCAAATATGGATAACCATATCCGACTTCTTACTCCATTCCTTCTCATGAGAGGAATCATATTTTAAAAGGAATAAAGGATAAGGGGAAAATAATTAAAAAAACGAAAATGATGATAAAAATAAAGAAAGATGAGAGAGGTGTGTGCCTATTTGAAAATAAATGGGTATGCATTTTCAACCTTTAGATGTTGAGTCGTCCTTTAGGCGCGTTTTCAACAAAACCCCACTAGAGGTATGCATCTAATAATTACATGGCCTATGGCGCACAATAAGAGCCTTTTTATGAGTTAAAGGTTCATAAATTTAGGATTGTGAGATGTTACTTCATGTGAAACATAAAGAGCATACGCATTAAAGTTTTGAATGCTTATAGCCCGCTAAAAATGCAAGTTTAGAAAACAAGAGTACAAGACCAAAGCAACTCAGTCCCCACATCTCTCTTTTGTACAATAGCTTTATTTAACATCAAAGAAGAGAAAGGAAGGTAGCTAACCTCCACCAACACCTGCACACAAGGGAGAGAACATGAACGGATAGCCAACCCGATAGGAGAGAAAGACGGGTAATCAGGATGCCCATTTGGCTACAAAGAGACAATAAGGACCAAAGTTTAGAATACGGAAACATGATGGATGCAGCAAGCACCCAGGAAGAGGAAAGGTACTATTGACATTCGTAATTAAAGTACTCATATGCATAGCAAAGAGTCATTTAAGTCGCTTTCCACCGACCTAATTTTGTTTAAATTTTAAAAAGTTACTGAAAAAGTATGACCTTATCACTTTCCTACATCAAATTTTATTTCAACCAATTTGATATTGAATCAACCGCAGTCAAATCTGTTTGCAAATTTTCATGCCTTCAAATACAAAAAAAAAAAAAACTTTCCAATCAGATCATGAAGTTGGAATGAACTAACTAAAAAAATTGGCTTTCTGAAATTGAACACAAACTGTCGGATTCTAATCATAGAAAAATACCTAAAACAAAGATGACCTATAGCATTTCCATCAACAGTTGGCCTTAAAGTCAATGAGGGAGTGACACACATCCATGATTTAAAAACTCTACGAGTCACAGGCGCAAGATATAATTATATGTGATCTCGCCACCAAAGTTCTACGACTCTATGAGCAACAAGACAACTGGATTTTTGCAAAGGAGAAGTTGATTTACATTAGCACCATTTTCAAGCAGAAGTCTGCAAGCATCAGGTTGGCCACTTAATGCAGCTTGACTAAGTGAAGTAGAGAAATCACGGTTAACAAAATCAGCTTTTGCACCCTTAGAAAGTAAGGATTTCATTAACTCAATATCACCTACACCCAAGTAGGCAAAGCAATCATGTCAGAAATATGTTTCTTGTTTCACAAGACTTCTGCATTACAGTCATGGTCAGCAAATATTAGGTTAAGAAATAAAATTAAAGTTATAAAGTAGATGCTAGAACTCAGCCTCAACTATCTTAGGATCAAGGAGAGAATGATTATGGATGATGACAATCCAGGAAAGTAAGTTGAATAAAGTAAAAAGTACCCTTCTTTGCAGCATAAAGAAGAGGATATCTTCCCCTCTCAAATTCTAAGGCAGCACCATAATCCACAAGGAATTTGGCTGTAGCTGTATGTCCATGCTCAGCAGCATAAATTAGAGGGGTCTTGTCTGTGAAATTGCACGGATTTTAGAACACGCATGGACCTTGATTTAAAAATACAGCTAGCATATGCAAAAGTTCAAATGATCAAAAAGGTTTAAAAGTTAACAAAACAACTTAAGTCATCTTTCTCGTTGACATCGAGCTTCAGATCCTTCAGAAAGTACTTGCATGCATCGGTAAACCCATCTGCAGCTGCATGATGAACAGGCCCTCTCTTGAGATTATCCCTCACGTTGGCAAAATCTGATTAATTGATTTGATTTTTAAATGAAAGACAACACAACAAGCCAAAAATTATTAATTGTCTGCAATAACCCCAATGAGTAAGATAAGAAATTTCAAATTATAATATTCGAACCCTTCAAGAAAGCTGGAATTGCAGCTGCAGCAGCCGCTCTGAAATGGTGACCAAATACTGCAAATGAGATGAGAAAAAACTAACAAACCGGGATACTTGTGTTGAAATTACATGTGTGTTTATACATGTATACAGTACAGTTAGCGCAGGACAAAGGAAAGTAAACCTCTCGAGGCACAAACGCTGGACATGTTCCGAGCAAGTAAACCTAGGCTATGTTTGGTTTGAGAAGCTGAAAAGATCTTTCTTAGACTTTTTACTAACTGTTAGCTTTTTAGAGCTAAAAAGCTTGCAGATGGAAAAGATCGTAACTGTTTCATGAAAGCTGTCTGTTTTAAATAGCCATGTTTGGCAGAACTTGCTGTTGTAAGTACCTGAAATTATAAAATTACAATAAAGGGTATGATCAAATATTATAATTAATCAATGAGAAAATAAAATACATGCACAATTGCCCATAGCTAATTTTTATTCCTATATATACGCAACATTCTAGTGCATTGAAAGAAGCAAAAAGGAAGCAGCTCTATAAGAACTTCATAAGATTGAAGTGAATTGCTGCGTAGACAAAAAAAAATTGAAAACAAAATTGAAAACAAAAAACAGAGCATAAAATACACAAACAAACTACATCTTTATGAACAAACTCTATAAAACCTGCACTACAATGAATAAACATAGCTTGTAAATTGTAATGACTTTGAACACACACCCAAAAAAAAAGCAGAAAAACTCCCATTTAAACAATAAATATGGAAAAATCAGGGAGTAACAAAACACATCCCAAAAACAGGTAAAATTGGCAATGAAAATAACAAACCGGTAAAATTACTCGGCACAAATCAAATCAAATTTATTTCAATTCGTCAGAATATACCAGAGATTTAAAAAATTAAATTCAAAGTTGACACAAATTTCCAATGCAATTTTTACCAGATTTTTACCAAATACAACACAGATTTTAGTTATGAATTGTTAATCAAAATCATAAAAATTAACAAACATCCGCGAAGAAGAGAAATCGATAAAAGGGTTTAGCAAAGACAATAGAATATGAAAAGATTGAAGCTCTTGGAGAGAGCACCGTTGACTGAAACAGAAGCTTGCAGACTTGAGGCGCACTAATGAATGAAGTTGGAGAAGAAAGAAGGGCTTGAGAGCAGGGTTATTGTGGAAAGGCCGAAAAATGAAAAGTTCTTTCTTATTCTAGGCTACCTTAGCTAGCGTTCTACAAAAGGTACGGACTTTTACAGACTTTTTAAATAATAGTTAAGTTAGAAGTTACAGACTTTTGCGTACCAAACATGGCCCTAGAAAATTTGGTCTTGGTGTTTCTTCGAAAATACGGAGTATTTAGACGCAGCAACAATAGGATTTTATGAGACCAGAGTTCGCTTTATATTTTATAATTATAAAGAAAAATACAAACTACACCCGAAACTAGGTCTCTCAATGGACCGGGTAACACAGGCCTGATTCAGAAGCAACGGGAACGGAAGTAATTCTATTTCTCATTTTTTGTTGAGGAAAACCGAAGTAATTCTATTTACGGCAAGACCCTCCAGAATGCCGAGCTCCGGTACACCCCGCTCGAGAAGACGATTTACGCCACTTACATCACCGCCAAGAAGTTGAGACACTACTTCCAGATGCATCCGATCAGAATCCTGTCAGACCAGCCTCTGGGTGCCTCTCTGAGGGCGCCTGACACAATCCGGGTGGTGAAGTGGTCGATGCTCTTCAACCAGTATGAAGTCAACTTCCAAACTCATATGTCTATCAAAGGCCAAGCTTCGATTGATTTCGTCGTGGAATGTATGGCCTGAGAGGTGACGGAGAAGCAACATGAGAGCAACGAGCAGTGGTGGACCCTATCAACTGACGGGTCAGTCACAGCAAAGGGATGGGGGCGGAATCGTCCTCCTGAGGGATTTTGGGCCTACTACACCTACCGCTATCTATTCAGAGTCTCCAACAATGAAGTGGAGTATGAGGCCATAATATTCGGGCTACGACTAGCATCCACCATGGAAGCATAATGGGAAATGGCGAAATATGACTCCTGGCCGGTCGCTTCACAGGTCAAAGGTGAGTTCAAGGCGAAGGAAGAATGAAGGCTAAAGGGTCAAATAGGCCCTCGAACTAACTGAAAAAGTGCAAATCACCAATTATATAGGAGGTTCTGTCCGGCCATCGCTATTGGGCCGGTAAACATTTGTGTGGATTGTTTACCATTTTATTTAGTTTGTAAACATTTGTGTGACTTTAGTTGTAATTGTATTTTAGTTCTCATTTGTAAATTGTAAAGTAGAGTTAGGATTTATGGTGTTGGAAAGGAAGACTTTGAAGTGAAGAAAAATGATTATTGGCTGCCCAGGACAATCACCCGGTCGGGTGAGGTATTGCACCCGGTCGGGTGAGACATTGAAATGCGAAACTGCTCAGGAAATTACATCACCCGGTCGGGTGAGGTATTTCACCCGGTCGGGTCTGACTTGACCCGGAACACCAGAACGTGCCGAAGATCACCAGAACGTGGAAGATATTTGATTTTGACATGCACCCGATCGGGTGGGCACTTTACCCGGTCGGGTACCCGACCCAAGGTGTTGAAAAACACCTATAAATAGCACACTTTTCCTTCACTATTTTCCATCCCTTCTTCCATACTCTTAAGCTCAGTTTAGAATAGTATTTCTTTTATATTTTTATAGCATGTTTAGTCTCCAAATGAGGAGCTAAACTCTTCCATCTTGGTTTTGCTCCTTTGAAGCTTAATGAATTTGTAAGTTGTGAGTTATTATCTTTAATTTTCTTCCTTGAATATTAATTCTTCCTTTAAATACTATTTCTATATCAATGTTGGGGAGTGTTACTAAGATGACAATTAGTTAACATCTTGACATTAGTTATAGTAATAGTTATTTCTTCCTCTACGTTAATATCGGGGAGTGTTACTAAGATGACAATTAGTTAACATCTTGATATTAACTATAGTAGGTATCATCTTCTTTAATATTCTTTCTTGAGTATTATTTAATTCCTATTCATATTTCATATTAATATTTTGAACATTACTTCAAGGATCAACTAGTTTTGTTTCATATATTAATTAATACTAGAATCGGTCGATTAATACGCTTGTTATTAATTCGGTCCTTTCACGGTAGTAAACTTGGATTATTAATGCATGCATCTCATGGTTAATGATCTAAGGGGAATTAATTACATTGATTAACCAATAAATCGCTTGTGTTGAGGTTATCAATCTCAATCGTTTTCATCTTAAGTTTATTGCTACTGTCAAGTTAATATACGACGCTTGTTCTATATTGACTCGATAGTAAGTTTTATTAATGAACGCATCTCGTTATTAATAACTACCCTCGATGAATTGGATATACTCCTCGATTGAGTATTCGAGAGGAAGATAGTTAAAGATATAACCGGGATCGACGAACATTTCATTAAGTGGATAAAAGCAAAACCAAGTCTCCTTCTCATTAATTAAACCACATAACGCGTTCATCTTCGTGTTTAATTTAATCAAATCACTCAATCAAAACTCCCCCCATTTATTTACTAGTTACATAAAAAGAAAGTTATTCCTTTCCCTGTGGATACGAACTCTACTACGCTATACTACATATTAGTGCTAGTATTGAAATTATTTTGAGTGCACACACGACAAAGTGCACGTCAAATTTGGCGCTGTTGCCGGGGAAAGGCAATTATTTTTCTTTTTTATTTTATTTCAAGATAAATAAATAAAAAACAATAATAAAAATATAAAGAATTCTTATTTTCTATTCCTGAGCTTTGTTTGAGTATATGGTTAAACACCGATCTATAAACCAAATCACCTACCAAACAAATCCCGAAACGGAACAAGCCTTCGAGAGGTTTAGGAATTTATTTCCGAATACTTCTTCGGAGGAATCATCAAGTGCTAGCTCCAACTCTAGCGAATCTGAAGAGCCAATCACTATGGCTCAAGAGACAAGAACATTGAGGGAGCTCACAACTCCGAACTTGAATCAACAACCATTGTGTATTACCTTCCCTACTCTTGATGAGGGTAATACATTTGAGCTAAAATCTGGGCTCATACATTTATTTCCATCTTTCCATGGCATGAGAGGAGAAGACCCGAATAAACATCTTTCGGAGTTCCACATCGTTTGCACAAGCATGTGCCCAAACGGTGCCACAGAAGAGCAAATAAAACTGAGAGCCTTCCCATTCTCCTTGAAAGATACCGCGAAGGATTGGCTTTTCTATCTTCCTTCGGGAAGCATCAACACATGGGCACAAATGAAGAAGTGCTTCCTCGATAGGTATTATCCTGCTTACATCTCATCTTCTCTCAAAAAGCAAATAAGCAACATCGAGCAAAAGGATGATGAATCCTTATATGAATTTTGGGAAAGATTTAAGAAGCTATGTGCTAGCTGTCCCTATCATGGCTACTCAGAACAAGACCTCATCTTATACTTTTATGATGGTCTTGTTGATGATGATAGAAGAATGGTGAACGCCACTTGTGGAGGCAGCATTGTTAATAAAACTCCTTCACAAGCTATAAATCTTATCTCGGAATTGGCCTAGAACTCACGGCAGTTCGGTCGCGGATCCTCAACTCGTAGAGTTGCCGCTGCAGAATCGACATCATCACTGGAGAGTCAAGTTGCCGGCTTGACTTCTTTGGTTAAGGATTTCCTCTTAAAATCCAAGACCCAAGAAGTCAAGGTCTGCGACATTTGTACACAACAGGGGCACCCCACGGACTCATGTCCAACTCTTCAAGAAGACAATCTAGAACAAGTCAACGCATTGGGTTTCCAAGGACATCAACAAAGGAGGTACGACCCATTCCCCAACTCTTACAACCAAGGACTGAGGGATCATCCAAACTTGAGGTATGGAAACCCCCAACAATCCAACCCATCTTCTCAACCACCTTTCAACAATCAAGGCTCAAATTCTCAACCTAATATGTCAACTGATGACATGATAAGAGCTTTGACTTCAAACATGGTTACCATGCAACAAAGCATGGGACAATTTCAACAAACCATGATACAATTCCAACATGAAACAAAGTCAAGCATTAAAAATTTGGAAACTCAAGTTAGCCAAATTTCAAATGCCGTAAACCGATTGGAAGCAAAGGACTCGGGTAAACTCCCATCTCAAACGGAGCAAAACCCGAGACAACATGTGAATGCAATCATGTTGAAGGAGGTAGAAAAGAATGACCAAGAGATCGAGGAGGTTGATCATGAAGAAGAAGCTCAATCTGAGGAGAGAACCACAAAGGCGAAACTTCCTCCATTTTCATCGTATGAACCAGTAGCCCCATTCCCCGAGGCATTGATGGAGACAAGGAAGCTGGAGAAAGATACTGACATCTATAAAACTTTCGCCAAGTGTGAGGTAAACATTCCGCTCCTTAACTCAATTAAAAATGTTCCCCGTTTTGCTAAATTTTTAAAAGAAGTATGCAAAACAAAACGAAAGGATGAGTCGAAAGAAAAGCAAGAGGTCAAGGTGAGTGAACATGTATCGGCTCTATTTCAAAAGAAACTTCCCAAAAAATGTAGCGACCCGGGCATGTTCACCATACCTTGCAAGATAGGGAACACCGCATTTTCTAAGGCCTTGTTGGATTTAGGGGCATCCATAAATGTCATTCCTTACTCTCTGTATAAATCCCTACAACTCGGCCCACTACATCAAACTGCTGTAGTGATTCAACTAGCAGATCGATCTAATACTTACCCAAAAGGTGTATTAGAAGATGTGCTAGTAGAAGTAGAAAATTTAGTTTTCCCTGTTGACTTCTATGTCCTTGAAATGGGAAATGATGACCAAACGACGCCCATCCTGTTGGGTAGACCTTTCTTAAAAACCGCAAAAACAAAAATTGACGTGTCTAGTGGTTCATTAACTTTAGAGTTCGATGACCAAAAAGTAGAATTCAATATCTTTGACTCTACAAAAAAACAAATTAAAAATCAATCCCTTTGTTCTTTAAATGTTTTTGAACCACCAACACTGAATATTTTTGTTGAAGAGGAACCAAAAAAATCTATTTTGAAAGGAAAATCACCTACTATTGAGGTGGTAACAAGGAAGAAAATTCGATCTTACTGGAAAAGGCCGAAGAAGAAAGCTGAAACGTGTCCCAACATGGCCTTTGAAAATAAAACAAGGGATGCTCACGA